GGGCGGCGGCGACCCACACGCGCCGCGGCTGGACATGCCCCTCGAGCGCCTGATGCGAGAGACTGCAGACTGGTGCACAGCGACACCAGCGATTGGCTGCCGCCCTCGGCCTCGAGCGCCGTCTCAAGGGCCGGGCAGACCAGGACGGTGAGCGAGAGGAGGAAGGCCTGCGGGGGTTGGGGTTGGTGTGTGGGGGGGGGGGGGGGTGAGGGGAGGATGAGGGTGAGGTGAGGGTGAGGGGGTGGTGAGGGGAGGGGAGGGGAAGGGGGAAGGTGGGGGAGGGGAGGGGAGGGGAGCGGAGCGGAGGGGAGGGGAGGGGAGGGGGACGGCAGCGAGAGAGCAGGAGGCCTGCACGCCCGCCGGCGACGTCTCCAGCGCCGCCGCCTGCGCGACACGTGCCGGGCTGGTGAAGCCTCTGGGGGGGAAGCCTCTGAGATTGGCCGAGATTGGCCGAGATTGGCCGAGATTGGCCGAGAGTGGAGGAGCCGTCGGCGCCGAGAGGAGCCGAGAGGAGCCGAGAGGAGCCGAGAGGAGCCGAGAGGCGCCTGCACCACGTACCCCAGCGCCATCCACACGCCGACCTCGACTCCGCTCGCTACGAGCGGCAGGCTCAGCAGCCGCGGCCGCCGCTTCGCCGCGAGCAGCAGCGCCGGGGCGAGGACGGAGCCGCAAAGCGCGAAGCGGAGGAGTGCGCCTGGAGGAGGCAGCGAGGGTGGGGTGGTGAGGGTGGGGTGGTGAGAGTGGGGTGGTGAGGATGTGGTGAGGATGTGGTGAGGATGCAGTGAGGATGGTGGTAGCGAGGGATGGCGCAGTGAGTAGTCAGGACGGGGCAGGCGGGCTGGCGTCCACCGAGCGACGGCGCTCCCACCCACTCGTCGAGCAGCTTGACCGACGCGTAGTTGGAGCCGTAGACAAGTGCGACGCAGCCCAGCAGCAGCCTCGCCGCGCCGACGCCGAGGGAGACGGTCTCTTCGGAGAGGACGATCGCTAGCTTCTCACCTCGCAGCGCCGCCTCGGACGCCGCGGCTTCCTCCTCGGCGGCCGCCCAGGAGAGCTCGGCCGCGAGGAGCGATGACGCGTCGTCACTGATGGCGAAGGTCCTCTCTAGCTGCTCCTTGACCGACGACTGCTCCCTCTCCAGCTGCTTCTTGACCGAGGACTGCCTGTCCACCTCTCGGGTCGGGACCCGGCCGTGCACAAGTGCGTCAGGAGGCGAGCGTTTCGACGCGAGCCACACTGCCGGCGAGCTTGGCCCCGCTTCCTGGTCGGCGCGCTCTTGGAGCGTGCAGGCGCACCGAGCCGGCCGATGCAGTGCTGGCAGGCGCGGAGGCGAGATTGCGGCAACCGAGAGCACAAGGAAAGGCACTAGCGTCATCACTGCCGCCATCAGCCTGCCATCAGCTGAGATGCACGAGCTTCGGCGCTGAAAAATTTTTTTTTGCCATATAGTTGTAAATTCTTTTGCGGGTATCGGCGTGTAGGAGCGGGACAAGATGACTACATCAGCCAAGCCGCGGTTGCGCGGACGACCGATTGGCCTGTACACGTTATTCTTCAAAGAAAACCACCCCAAGGGAGGGATGGGAGGACGGCACGCCGCCACCACACAGGGATTTTAAGGAGAGGAGTGTGGTGCTAGCCGTCGCCCACCCTAACCCTTGGGCGTCTGCCTCTTCCTATCTCTCTTCGCAGTCCCTCGCCGATTCTCGCTGCAACCTTCAAGGCTTCATGCCACCTCGCGGTCGTCCCACTCTCGTCGCTCTCTCTCTTGTCGCTTCTTTCCTCGAGCTGTCGCGTCGCTCTCCTCTGCCTCGTCCTGCGACGGCGCCGCCGCCTGCCGATCCCTCGCTCTCGCTGCTTCTTGCGCCTTTTTCGGCGCAACTCTGCCCTCCTCGGTCCTCCTGGCGGCATATTTTGGCCCCTCGAGTTTATCGAGCTCTCCTCGCGCAAGGACGACTCTTCTGACGCCAACTCCGATCATTTGTCGCCAAGTCATATCGTTGCTCAGGTCCACTCTCGTGTCGGACACTTGTACCTCCACCCAGTTAGGTAATAAATAAATAGAGCAGTCATCTCCAGGGAGAGATGGGCGACGCACACGAACACAGAGGGACAGTGCGCACCCCGCCCCCAGGGCGAAAAAGAAAAGAAAGAAAGAAAACAGACAGCCCCAAGGGAGGAAAAAGAAAGAAAGAAAGAAAACGGACAACCCAAGGGAGGGATAAAGAAAGAAAGAAAGAAAACACACAACCCAAGGGAGGGATGGGAGAACGGCACGCCGCCACCACACAGGGATTTTAAGGAGAGGAGGGTGTGATGCGCTAGCCGTCGCCCACCCTGGGGGGTCTGCCTCCTCGTATCTCTTTTCGCAGTCTCTCGCCGCTTCTCGCTGCAACCTTCATGCCACCTCGCAAGGGAGGGATGGGATCAGTTAGGTCCGCGGTTAAAATTCTTTTGTCGCTGCGGTTCCATGTGCGGCGCGGCGTGTCGCCGCCTCATTCGCTCGCTCTCCGACCCTCCGCCTCGCGTCGCACAGGTCGCAGGACGAGTACGTCGCGCCGCCTGAGGTCGTCGCGGCGATCGAGGCCGGCGACGCGGAGCAGGTGAAGGCGCTCTTGACGCCGGCGCCCGAGGGGCTGTCCAAGTCGGTGCTGAAGAAGCTGGTGAAGCAGGCAGAGATCAACAAGAAGAAGCTCGACCAGGGCAAGGCCGTCGTCGCACCGCAGGCCCCGGCGGCCGCCAAGCCCGCGCCGTCACCGCCGCCCGCTGCCGCCACGCCGCCAGCAGCTGCCGCGGGCGGTGGCAGCGCTGACGACGAGAGTAGTCTCGTGGCCGCGCTGCTGGCGCAAATTGAGACGCTCGGCCTGCCGGCCGACGCCATGGCGACCCTGCAGCAGCAGCGCACCGCTCTCGCCGACGCCATCGCGCCGCACGTCAATGCGATGCGCAACAGGCACTACGTGCAAGGCTTCAACGCCCGAGGATGAGAGAGTTGAGAGAGATGCTGAGGCAAGAGGCGAGACGGACAGAGAGTGAGAGTTTAGGCGAGGTTTCTTCAAACATAAATTATGGTCGACCCCGGCGCCGAACGAATCCCGAGCGAGTCGCGTGCGAGAGCTGAGCGCCGGGCGTGCGTGAGCGCGCCGCGCGGGTGAGGCTGAGGGGACCCGCGGGAGCGGAGAGAAAAAGAGTGTGCAGCCCTGCAGCTAGAGCCCGCGTAGCCGTCGTGAGGTGGGCAGAGGCTCGTCTGGAAGCACAGCCCTGAGCTCCACTCTCCGCCGACTCTCAGCTCGGCGGGAGCTGGACCGGCTCGGCGCACGCGAGCTCGACCTCCGCCTCGTCCACCGAGTCGGGCTCGAGGAGGAAGCGCGTCAGCCGCTCGCGCCGCACCGGCTCCATCAGCTCCTCGATGCGGGCCTCGACGCGCGCGCAATACTCGGCGGCGGACTCGGCGGCGTCCGCCTTCGGATTGTCGTGGCAGCCTTAGCTCTCCCTCAACGCATTCTTTTGTGATTCGGGCTCGGCGCTGCCTTTGAGAGCGTCTGCGCGAACCGAACGTTCGCGAGGCCCTCCGGCGACTCCTGCGGGAGATGCGAGCGGCGTGTCGTGGACATGTCTGGGAGAGGTCCGCTCGCGAAGCCCTCCGGCGGCTCCTCCGACTCGTGTGCGCGACAGCTCTCCAGGATGGCCTCGCCTGCAGAGGGGGAAGAGGTGTCTTCGACGCGGATCCCTCCTAAGGGAATGTGCAGGGGGGCGAGCGGTGTCTTCGAGGTGTCTGGGAAGTGAAGGGGGCAAGAGGTGCCCTCGACGCGGGTGGTCCCTCCAAAGGGAAGTGTCTGGGAAATGTCTTGGGGGAGAGAGCTAGCCTCGAGGAGGGCGATCGCCGAAGCGAGTGAGCTGTCTCTCCGCTGTCTCTCCGCTGGATCTCCGCTGTCTCTCGGCTGGATCTCGGCTAGATCTCGGCTGGGTCTCGCCGAAACGCGTGAGCATCCCCTCCCCCATCTCAACCACAACCACCGCTCGGCTGCGCTCGAAACGCGACGTCGGCGCCTTGCCCACACAACAAGGAGTCACTCCTTGAGCATGAGTAACCTCTCATGCGCACACAACAGTGAAGCACTAAGTCATCACTTCTCACGCGCGACGGCGGCGCCTTCTCACGCGCGGAGCAGACGCGCAGCAGCGAGCGGACGGCGCCTAGTCTCGCGTCCTCTAAAGGCTGCGTCGCGGGCCTCGCGAGCAACAACCGCAGCAGCGCGCGGGGCGGCGCTTATGTAGTCGACGGGGGCGGTGAGGTGCTTGGCCCAGTAGGCGGGGTCCGCCGCCTCCTCCTCGCTCACCACGTCGCCCGTCACCGACGAGACCCACGGGCAGCTCGGCCGGCGCGGCCTGCAGCGACTCGTGTCACGAGTCAGGCCGACCTTGTGCGGGTGGGACGCCTCGCGGGGCACAGCTCGGGTAATCTCGGGTAATCTCGGGTAATCTCGGGTAATCTCCTCACGGGGCACAGCTCGGCCAAACGCGGCCTGTGCCGCCGGTAGAGCTCCGCCGCCCGGGCCGCGAGTGCCGGCGCGAGCTGCGCCATCGCAGGGGAGTGGTCGGCGTGCGTCGCCGCGACGCGAGTCACCTTTAGTGGAAAAGAGGCAACCATGCAGAAGGAGGACCAGTCAGAGTGGGGCGTGTGTCGCCGCAGCGCGACTCACCTTGGTGCCCGGAGGCAGCCGCTTCACCGCCGCGGAGATGGCGGCCCACTCGCCGGAGATCACGACCTAACAGCCGGCAGGGGCGGGCCGCATGAGCAGGAAGGCGTGTAGCCGGCGGCCGTACTCGCCACCACAACCGACCGACGTAGGCCCGTTCAAGCAAGCGACGGCCGCCCGCCCCGCCACGCCGGCCTCGTGTACAGCGCGCCTCGCCGCCTCTGGAGACGCGCGCACAGACATCATCGCACCTCGCGACGGGCTCTCCGCCATCAGCCGGCCGCGCCTACGATCGCACCATTGTTGTCTCAATGTCGTGCAGAGGGCTGTGCGAGCCTGGCGATCAGCCGGCCGCGCCTACGATCGCACCATTGTTGTCTCAATGTCGTGCAGAGGGCTGTGCGAGCCTGGCGATCAGCCGGCCGCGCCTACGATCGCACCATTGGTGTCTCAATGTCGTGCAGAGGGCTGTGCGAGCCTGGCGATCAGCCGGCCGCGCCTACGATCGCACCATTGGTGTCTCAATGTCGTGCAGAGGGCTGTGCGAGCCTGGCGATCAGCCGGCCGCGCCTACGATCGCACCATTGGTGTCTCAATGTCGTGCAGAGGGCTGTGCGAGCCTGGCGATCAGCCGGCCGCGCTCGCACACGAGAGCGGCCGCCGTGGCGCAGTCCAGCGCGCCCGAGAAGACGGCGGCGACGTACTCGCCGAGCGAGTGGCCTGAGCACAGTGTGGCTACCCGTCTCCGTCTCCTTCTCCTTCTTATTGTCATCACTCCCCCCGAGCGAGTGGCCTGAACACAAGCTCGTCTGGTGGAGGGACAGCTGTCTCTTCTGCTGCGCGACGGACGCTCCGAACGGCGTGGCCGACGACGGCGCACGGCGTGCAATACTTAGCGCCGGGCTCGCAGGCGGCCCAGAGCCGCCCCAGCGCGTACCTACGGGGGACGTGTCGTGGACGTGCCGTGGGCGTGCCGCGGCCCGGCAGGCGGCCCGACGCAGCAGAGGCCGCACTCGAGCGCAAAGAGGGAGAGGAGGGCGTACCTACGTGCATGCACACGTCCGTGCCACGTCCGTGTCCTGCTCGCGGGCGGGAGAGGGGGAGGAGGAGGCGCACTGCGGCTGCTGGATGGCCTACAGAGACAAGACATCGGAGTCAAGACAGGACACGACACCGGTGGAAGAGCGCCGCGGCTGCTCGATGACCTCGGCGTACATCGGCTCGTCGATCTCGGCCGGGTAAAGCACCTGCAGCAGCGGCTGCGGCAGCAGCGGCTCGGTGCAGCCGCTCACCTCGTCGATCGCGGCGCGAAAGACGGGATGCGCCTGCGGGCACGTGTCAGGGACCCCGTGTCATGGACGTGTCAGGGACATGCTTTGGGAGAGGGGAGGGAGAGCGTGTCGCGCCTCGTACAGCGGGCGCCCAATGTTGATGCGCTGCCAGCCGAGCGGAGGGAAGGCGAAGACGACGCCGACCGACTCGACGGGGCCGTGCCGTGCCAGCTTCTCCTCGTCGCTCTCCTCCTTGAGCGGGTGGTACTTTCCGTCCTTTGGGCTGACGGTGAGGTAGACTGGGTATTGCGTGCCGTTGGCAAAGACCACGTGCTCCGCGTCGTGCGGTTCCGTCCCGTCGGGTCGCCAGACGCCGTCCGTCCAGAGGTGCCGCGTCCCGCCGAACGTATCCGCCTCGCTCTCCACAATCATCGCTGGAAGCTTTCCAGATTCCTCGGCGTCGTCCGACGGCGAGTCGGGCGGCGAGTCGGACGGCGCGCTCCGCGCAGGCTGAAGGAAGACCGGCGGCCGAGCGCCCTCTTCGTAAGTGCCGTCGGTGACGTCGGCGAGCACCTCGATGGGGGCCACGGGCGGCATCGAACCGGGCGTTGGGTAGGTCCTACAGGGCACTTGATGCCAGAGCTTCCCAGCCCCGGATACTGTCCCGTTTTGCTGTTCACAGAGTCGTTCACAGCTAGCGACGGCCTCTGCGGCAAAGTCAAACAACCCCACCTGGCCTACCTACCTACCTACCACCGCAGCAAACCTTCGGCTCCCTCTCAGAGGCTCGCCGCGCCCGTGCGGCGCGCCGAGGCGGCGCCGAGGCCGGCGCCTTGCACCCACAACTGACCGCCCTGCGGCCCCTGCGCAGGCGTACCACAGGCGTCGCTCAAAAAGCGACGCCGGGTGTGGGCTGCTCCCTTGACCCGTCACCCGCCGCGCCCTCGACCGGCCGCCTCACCGCTCACGGAGCGCTCGGCTGCTCGCCGCCGCCGCTGCGCCGCCGCCGCGCGTCCCGCGCCGCCACGGCCCACGCATGCCCCTTGCCCTGACGCGCGCGCTCTGCGGCAGAGCGCGCGTCTGTCACAGACGGAGCAGCGACCGCGCCAGCGGTCGCTGCTCCGCCCCTCCGTCGCGCGCGCCGCGCGCGCGCTGCCGCCGCCGCCGCCGCCGCCCCCTCCTCGCCGTCTTCCCAACCCCTACCCTCTGTTGCCCGCACGCGCGAGCCCTAGTCTGGCCGATTTTTTTGCGGTATCTTGATTTATCTCTCCATATCTGACCGTATCCCGCCATATCCCGCCATATCCCGCCATATCCCGCCATATCTCGCCATATCCGGCCGCAGAGCGCGACGGCAAAAAAAGAAACTTAGACGTCGCGTGCGCTCGAAAAGGGGAGAATGATATGTGCTCGACAAGCGGGGCCGTCGAAGCGCGAAGTTCGCCCGTCGCGTCCGATTTGCGGTTTCACGCTTCCCGGACGTTGTCGTGAACACATCGTGGGGGCTCCGTATCTCATCATATCCGCGTGTATCTCCCGGTATCCCGCCATATCCCGCCATGTCCCGCCATATCCCGCCATATCCCGCCATATCCCGCCGCGCGGATACCGCGAAAAAAATCGGCCAGACTAGGGATCGCGCGCGCCGCGCGCTGCGCGCCCCCGCCCCCGCCCCCGCTCCCAAGCGCCCCTTCCCCGGTAGGTGTGCGTAGAAAGTGGAACCAATCGAGAGGTGCAGGTGGCAGAAGGAGAAGCCGCCGTGTGTATGACACATATTGCGGCACGTGAGTGAGACAGACGGCCCCGCCGCGCGCGCGCGCAAGCGCAACAGGCGTTTTTTATGCAAACAGCAAACGGGACGGCCTGCGCAGCCTCTAACTATTTGTGACTTTGGTTGTGCAGGGCAACGCCTCCTTCTCTCAGCATCGGCTGGCATGTCATCGCCAGCGTGTACACGTGTACACTACGTAATACCCCGGCTCCATCGTACGACTGTAGCCGCTACTGCTGCTGCCGACCGCTGTAGCCTGCACCACTCGCGTATCTGCGACATGGTGAGCAGGCCGCGAACCCCCGCGCTGCTGGGCAAACCGCCAAGCCGGGCGCGCGTTGCGCGCCAACAGTGTGCCGTCTCACTCACAGTCACAGCTCCAGCTTCCGGCCTCCGCCTCGGTAGCCGATGACCGACACAACGGCGTTGATGTCCATCGCGTCGTCGAGCGCCTTCCACCCGCTGCTCGTCACGGAGGGACTCTGAATCTCGAGCTTCTCGAGGACTCGGTTCGTTTGCAGCGCCTCCGCCAGCGCCACCGCGCCCGCGTCCCCCACCGCGTTGTTGCCGAGGTCGAGGAGCGCGAGCGCCGGGTGGTGCGTGAGCGAGCGCGCGAGCGCGACGGCGCCGCTCTCGCCGATGGAGGCGGAACGCAGCTGCAGACCTGTCAGCACCGCACTGCTCGAGAGCAGTTGCGCAAGGCTCGCCGCGCCCTCGTCTCCGATTTTCGTTCCGCGCACGTCCAGGTCCGTGAGCGCCGGATGCGAGGCGATGGCGCCAACCACCGCCGCCCCAAGCGGGTTCTCTCGGTAGCGCAGCGAGTACAGATTGCGGTTGTGCTTGAGGGCCTCGGCCAGGGCTAGCGCGTCCGCCTCGTCGAATCCGTTGTCACGAAGCGACAGAAACCGGAGGTTGCTCTCAGAGCCGACGAGCGCCACGATTTTGTACACCTCTGGTTTGCTGAGCTTGTCGAAGTCAAGAACAATAGTCTTGCAGTCTTTTAGCGAACCTGCCATATCGCGCTTTTTGCACTTGGATCTCTGCCCGGCGGCGTTCCCGGCCGCCGCGAAGAGGGCGACGCAAAGCAGGCGCGGAACGAGAGGCGCCATTTGTTGCTACTTGAGGGGCGACGGAGCTCCGTCGCCACAGGCCGAGCACAGGCCACAGGGCACCTTTCAGGCAACGGGAAGAAACAGAGCGAGACAAAAAGAATTTTTGTACCGCTAAAGCCGCGGTCGGAACAGGGCGAGTGCGAGCGTGGAGCAAGGTCTTCAATCGACTTCCAGAACAGCAATGCCATGGAAGCACCGCGCCGTCCCCATCGGCGCCACCGCCTCCCAGGCATCCAACGCCGGGTCGTAACGCTCCACCAGGCGGAAGCAGCCGGCATCGTCGTCCTCGTCCTCGTCCACCTCCTCCTTCTCACCGCCAACAGCGAACAGCTTGCCGTCGAGTACCGCCATGCTGACAGAGCACCGCGCACTCGCCATCGGCGCCACTGCCACCCACGCGTTCGCTGCTGGATCGTACCGCTCGACCGAGCTGAGGTAGTCTGCTCCTTCCGAGTACCCGCCAGCAGCGTACAGCTTGCCGTCGAGCACCGCGACAGCATGAATGCATCGTGCCGTCGTCAACGGCGCCACCGCCTCCCACGCGTTCGTCGCAGGGTCGTACCGCTCCACCGAGCTGGTGGCGCCGCCACCGCCGTTGCTGTACCCGCCCACGGCATACAAACTGCCGTCCAGCACCGCCACGCCGCAGTTGTCTCGCTCCGACGCCATCGGCGCCACAGCCTCCCACACATCCACCGCCGGGTCGTACCGCTCGACCGAGCTGAGAGAGACGCCGACGCTTTGCCCGCCCACCGCGTACAGCTTGCCACCGAGCACCCCTACGCCGTGACCCTGCCGCGCCGTCGCCAATGGCGCCACAGCCTCCCACGCTTTCGTAGCCAAGTCGTACCGCTCCACCGAGCTGGAAGATCTGCGGTCGACCCCATCGCCGCCCACGTGGTACAATTTGCCATCGAGCATCGCCGAGCCGACAAATTTTCGTGCCGTCGGCATCGGCGCAACAGCCTCCACCTCCCACCCGTTCGCGGCCGGGTCGTACCGCTCCATCGAGTTGACAATCTCTTCGCCACCATTGTTGCCGCCATTGTTAACGCCGCCAAACACGAGCAAGCGACGCAGCCTCTCGCGCCTCGCAAGCGTCTCCTTCCAGCCGCGGCGCCACGCGCGGCACGTCCCCTTGGCGGCGTGCTCCTTGGTCGGCAGCTGGGCGAGGATGTGCGGGGCGAGGTCCGGCGAGAGGAGGACCTCGGAGAGCACCCACTCGGGCTGATCCACGAGCCGTGCGGCGTGCTCCTCCGCCACGCGCAGCGCGGCGTCGCTCGCGCCCGCCTGCGCCTCGATGATGGCGCACAGCTGTTCTGGCGAGAGGCCCGCGACCCGGGCGCCCATGCGGTGCGCGGCCATATACGCACACGTATGTGTGTTTTACAAAGAGACGTTTGAAGCAAAAAGAAAAACCCCTGACGCAGTACACTACTCGTAACACGGCCGGGCAAATCCCCGTTGTGGGATCCAGGCGCAGAGAATTTTACAAGCCACGACGACGGGCGCGTCCCGGGCGGCGTGGGCTGCATGGGGGCACGGTGAAGTCGATCGATGGAGGCTGCTTCCACCCCTCATCGTGCGCGCGTCGCTGTGCTCTTCGGCTCGGAGCTGCGCGACCTCCACAAATTTGCCTCGCAGAAGTTCGTCTCGCCCCACGGCAAGCCGCTGTTCGCCGGCGTTCCGCACTTTGACATGTTCATCTCCTCCGACAACGCGTCGCTCAGATGCCTGCAGACACAGCGCGCCGCGGCCTGCTTGCGCTCGCCGGACGCCGCCAGCTCGTGTGGTGGCGCGCGGCTGCGATGGCGCGAACAAACACCCGATCCGCAGCTAGGCCTGGAGGGACTCCTCGGCTCCGGTCTGGCCGAGCACCGCAAGCAGTTGATCCAGTTCTGGCGGCTGCTGCAGGCGTATCGGGCAATGGAGGAGCACGAACGGCACCGCGCTCTGCGGTACGCACAGGTCGTCAAGCTTCGCACCGACCTGCATCTGCCGGTCGCCATCGATCTCCTGCCAGCTTGGGAGCCGGCCGTCGCCTCCAACCGAGCCTTCTTCATGCGCTCGGATTGGATCTTCTGGGGCAGTCGTGACATCGCCGCCCGGGTGATAGAAGGGTTCTTCGAGACGGCGCGGCTGCTCACGACCACTGGCGACCAGCGCTACTGGCCTCTCGACTACAGGTCGATGCTCGAGGCCGGCTCCGACGCGTGGGACGCCGGCAAATGGTCTTGGCTCCGCTACCCGCGCCATCAGCCGGGAGTGCGACCGTTCGGGCTGACGCGGACGATCCTCTCCGACCGGCGGCAGTTCTTTGGCCACCTGCGCCGTCACGTCGATGCGCTGGAGCGGTGGGACCGCGGCTGCGCGCTCAACGCGACCGACGCCGAGTACGAGCGCAACGGGTGCCGCCACCTGGTGACACGCAAGCCCGAGTGGTTCCCGCGTGGCAAGTACCCGGAGCCGGAGAAGAGCTTCCTGTACCACGTGCTCTCGCAGCGGCTCATCCCCCGCAGCGCGCTCGACGTGCTCAACCACCGCCTCAACGCCTCCCACCTGCACGTGATCTCTCCTTTTGGTCCGCTGGGGCTGCTCCCGTCCACGAGGTCAAAGTCAGGCTCCTGCCCCGGGTCGGGCGAGAGCACTAGCCAACCCATGGGCGCGAGCTGATCTCGCTCCGACGGCCGAAGGATGGGCCTAAAATCATCATCCATCCGTGAAAGCCCCACATGCCACAAGCGGTCTCGGCTCTCGCCACAGCGAGAGAGCAGAAGGTGAGCAGTCAGGCGCGCTGCTGCGGGCACCGGATGCCATGCGCGAGCAATCGTATCCGCCCGAGGTGCACGCGTTGCTGCTCGGCAAGGCGCTGGAAGCACCGTCGCCCGACGCTGAAGGCCTGCAAGAATTTGAGAAGCGGCCTCCCGCGCTCGGCTTTACAGCATCGGACCTAATGGTTCTCGAGTGCTACGCTGCCAGTGATGCAATCACCGATGTCGAGCGTCGTCACGTCTTCCGAATTCTGCGTGCACAGATGCTTCGACAGCTCATATCGTGTCGGGGTTGCGGCAGCGTCCGTGAGCTAGTAGCAGTGCTTCGCGATGAGCTAAAGGCCGGTACCCCTGCCACAGTTCCGCGGTGGTACAGCTTCTCCACCACCACAATGGGCCCTCGCCGACTCGGCTACAAGAAATGCAGTAGCCGTGGCTGTTTGAATACGGAAGACCTGCAGCACAAGTTCTTGAGTTGCGCTGCTTGCAAAGTGCCGTACTACTGCAGCCCAGTCTGCCAGCGGCGAGACTGGAAGGCACGGCACAAACACGTATGTGCATCAGGGAGAGATCAGCGCGAGTATATGCAGAACGCGGGGGCACTGCTCCAAAGGCTCTCTGACATGAGCCTGACTGGGCAGGACGCCGTTTTCGGTCCAGGTGGAGCTATGATGGCCGTTTCTTCAGGCGACCGCTCGAATATTGCTGCTTCTTCATGCCAGGCCGCAGTCACAGCTGCAGACACAAACCCAGCGGTGATAGCGCGGCGCGCCTTTCTCAGGGCCGAGAAACAAAGGGCCAAAGTTGCCAACCCGCCGGAGCCAACTCCCCCCTCGCCGCCATCGGGAGACCCGCTCATTGATGCCGTGGTGCGCGTGCGCCAAAACTCGCAAAAGGAGCTCACAGCGGCGCAGCTGCACAGCCACCTCGTGCTAGAAATGGAGTGGCAAGACGTGTCCCTAGCAGCAGTGAAGAAGGCCAGTTCCAAGGCAGCCAAGCTGGCCGCTCGACCTCGGTGAACCCCATGGCCTCCTGCATGCTATGCCATGGCTCCGTCGAGTCCTTGTCCCCGTCATCCGGCGAGCTCTTCTTCTGTTCTTCAGTCGGGCGGCGCTTCGAGTTTCTTTTTCTAGGGAAGTGCACTTTTCCGTATAAGGTGGTAGCTGGTAGTCCGGGTTCTGTGAAGAGGGTCGCTCGTCGAATGCGAGCCAGTTCGCTCGCGACGCCGACGCCGCCGCCGCCGCCGGAACGACCGCGTCGGCCGGTCGAGCGGCCGCCAGAAAAAGAATTACAAAACCAATCACTCCTCGTCTGGAAACAGTCACGTACGCCTTTCGCTTTTGGGGCGGCCATTCCCTCAAGAAACCCCGTCCCTTCGCGCCCCGCCATCTTCGCTGCAGATCCGCCCTGCAGCGCACCGCACCGACCCCCCCGTGTGCTGCTAAAGCCGCCGTGCCGCCTAGCTGATGCGCCCGTCCTGCCGCAGCCGCCCGTGCTGCCGCAGCATGGTCGCCACAGCGCCGTGGCCGTCGTGCGGCGCCACGCCGCCATGGATCGGCTCGCCCGCGCCGGCCGCCGCCCTTGCGCCGCCCGCCGCCGCGTCGCTCGCCTCGTGCCATGGCGTGCGGCCCCACCTGTCGGTGGCCGCGGGGTTGGCGCCCGCCGACAGCAGCGTCGCCTAAGCTCGAGTCGTCTCGGTCATCTCGCGTCACCTCAGCTTGGCGCCCGCCGGCAGCAGCGCGTTCGCCGTCGCGCGCACGTCGCCGTCCACGGCTGCAACGTGCAGCGGCGTGGTGCCTGAGAGTGCAACGACATGACGCGAGATGGCGCGAGATGACACGAGATGACGCGAGATACTCCGAGGGTACGGTGCCGGAGTGGTCAGCAGCGGAGACGTCGGCGCGCGCGGCCACGTAGCACTCGAGCCCCGCGTAGTCGCGCGCCTTGATCAGAGCGCATGCCGACATCTCGCCGAGAACTGGCGGAGGTGTCGCAGAGAGAGACCACACAGCAACACGTCGGCTGCACCTCGCGCGATCTTCCCTGATCTCGGCTACACCTCGCGCGATCTCCCGTGATCTCGGCTTCACCTCGCGCGATCTCCCGTGATCTCGGCTGCATCTCGCCTTGACGAGGGCGCACAGAATACCGGCCAGCCTCAGCGGGCGGAGCCCCAGCCGCGCGCCCGCGGCGACGAGGAGGGCGACGGCCCGCCGGTGGCGGAACTTGCACGCGTCGGCGAGCGGCGTGTTGTCGTGCCTATACTCGTCGGCAGCTCGCTGGTGAGAGAAGACGGCTCGCCCGAGCACGCGTGTCGGCGAGGGGCGAGTCGGCGGTGCCTACCCTCGGCCAACCCGCCCCTGTGCGTCGCCGTTACTTCATTCATCAGTGGCACCCGCCGCGCGTCGTCGTGCCGGTCGAGCGCCGAGAGCGGGATGCCGTGCTCGGGCTGCAGCAGGTAGGCGACGACGGCGTCTCGCCTGCTCATTGATCAGCCACGGAGGGCTGAACGAAGACTGCTCTCGGCTGCGGCAGCGAGGCGACGACTCTGTCTCGCACCCCTCTGAAGACGCGAGGTGCAGCGGCGTGCGGCCGTCGTAGTCGCGCGACGTGCGCAACACGGCGCCGTCCGCCACGAGGGCGAGCATCGCCTGCGGGACGTGTCTCGGACATGTCGTGGACGTGTCGCGGACGTGTCCCTCTGAAGCCATCTACCGAAGCCGAGCGTCGCCTGCATGTCGCCGTTGCCCGCCGCCGCGCACAGAAGCGTCGGCACGAGCGCCCGCCGCAGCGCCGGCAGCCCAGAGTAGTCTGCAAGTCCACCTATTCCCAGATGTCTGTCTACGTGCTCACGCCGCACCATGCCGCAGCGCCAGCAGCCCGGAGCAGTCTGCGAGCGCACCGTCAAGGCTGTGCGGCGCACTCGCCTGCGGCAAGAGAGCCGCACAGCTCACGTACTCCCGCCCGCTCACGCTCCTCTGCCTCAGCAGCTCGGCAGCAACTTCGGCCCAATCTCGGCGCCATCTCGGCGCCATCTCGGCTGCCATCTCGGCTAGAGCTCGCCGCTCGAGAGAGCCCGTCCCGGAGCGCCTCCTTGCCGCCCTCGGCCAGCAGGCCATCGAGCGGTGACGTCTCTTGCAGCCGCGCCTGCTCACGGCTGGAGGTGTGGGGGCGGCCTCTTGCTCACTGGTTCCGGGGTCGGCGTGACGTCTCCGCCAGCCGCGCCTCGCCCTCTGCCAGGGAGGAGGGTGGCGGCGCGGCGGCGGACGGGTCCGCCTGCGCGACGCTCTCGAGGGAGGCCGCGGAGAAGACGCGGCGGAGGAAGCCGCCGTCGCTGAGGGAGAAGCGCTGCGCCTGCCGGTTGGTCACCTCGCCACGCAGGTCCGTCCCCATCATCCTCCGCACCTTAGGATGAATGGATGAGCCAGGTTGGTTGACTCGCCACCTCGCCACGCAGGTCCGTCCCCATCATCCTCCGCACCTTAGGATGAATGGATGAGCCAGGTTGGTTGACTCGCCACCTCGCCACGCAAGTCCGTCCCCCGTCCCCCCTCCGCACCTCCTCGGGCGCGAGGCCGCACCTGGTGACCAATGAACTCGTCCTTCCACAGTCCGAGGAGGCCCGTCGCTACCTCTAGCTGGCGCACCCGAGCAGCCAGCCGAGCTTGACCAGCGCAGCCTCCGGAGTCATGTCGCCGCCCGCAACCACGCCCGCCGCGGCGAGCGACTGGCCGGTCGCATACGCGGGCTCGACCGAGCCGGCGCTGCACTGCGTCACCTGTCGGGGGAGACAGCCGAGATCTCGCCGAGAGATCGCCGAGGTGTAGCCGGCGTTGCACTGCGTCACGTTGACGATGACCAGGCCGCGGCTGCTCGCCTAGCGAAGGAACGTTCCGAAAAAGGCTCCGAGAAGGCTCCGAGGAGGCTCCGATCCACGGCTGGCGAGGGTGAGTCCGCGGCCGCTCGGCTACAGCACATCGACTCATCTCTCGGCTGCACCTCGGCTGCACCTCGGCCGTATCTCGGCTATCTCTCGGCTATCTCTCGCCTCGCGCAGCGCGTCGAGAAAGTCGGCGTCTCGGTCGGGCGCCTAATTAGGAATAGCCGAGCTGTCGCCGAGATGTCGCCGAGATAGAGAGGAGGTCGGCGCGTCTCGGTCGGGTGCGTTGCCCGCGCCGAAGGTCTGGAGGATCGCGCCCTTGAGCGGCGGCTGCAGCGTGTTTCGCAGCGTGGTGAAGGGGCCGGGGAACACGCGGATGATGACCAGATTCGGGTCAAAGTCAGGCATCAGCCGGAAGCGACCCGGCGACGGGGGGCGCACCTACGGGGAGGTATGGGGAGGTATGGGGAGGTATGGGGAGATATGGGGAGATGTGGGGGGCGCACCAGGTCCCACCGCACAGAGCAAGAGATGCCTACTCGCTGATGTGAGCTGCTGGTGTCGCCGGCCAACTCTTGGCGGTCCCGCGGAGCAGGAGGTGCCCATCGTGGCGAGCGGGGGCAGGTTGGGCGAGCCGAAGGCCTTGAGCCCCGAGGCGTCGAGCTTGACGGCGCGGTTGCCTGATCAACGAGTGGCTCACAGTGAAGGAGGGGGGAGGAGTCATGCAGCCGAGCTTGACGGCGGCGGTGTTGCCGCGGTGCAGCGCATCCGCAAAGTAGAGCGTCACCTCGGGAGTCAGGGCTTCCTCATCGAAGGACTTCATCACTGCTCATTGGTGGTGACTCTCCAGTCGGACAGTCTCCCAGAGCGGGGGAAGTCGAAACCACGTATCTCAGCTACACCTCGGCTGCATCTCGGCTGCACCTCGGCTACACCTCGGCTGCACCTCGGCTGCACCTCGGCTACACCTCGGCTGTACCTCGGCTACACCTCGGCTACACCTCGGCTGCATCTCGGCTGCATCTCGGCTGCATCTCGGCTGTTTATCTCCGAGAGCGCCACCTCGGGTATGTCGAAGGTGCCCGCGATGAGGTTAGGGTTAGGGTTAGGGTTAGGGTTAGGGTTAGGGTTAGGGTTAGCCTCGGGTATGTCGAAGGTGCCCGCGATGAGCAGCGCGCCGAGGAAGTTGGAGATGCCTAAGAGCAAGAAGGATGTGGATGAGAATGCCAGTCCTTGAGAAACGCGCCGGGAGAGTACAGCGATGCCGTCCGAGCGCGGGCGGACGAGCGGGATCTGAGAGCCCGTCACCTGGACGAGAGTGTGGGGGGAGAGGAGCTAGGCAGGGCAGCCTGCTGCGGTGAG